GTACCAGTCCATTTCAGCTCACTAATGCTTAAGATATCTACCCTGTATTAGACAACCCTAAAGTAGGAGATGGACTCCTGGTGTGGTGCTGTAGGATAAGCTCAAGGGTTGTTCAAATCTGCCAGCTGCTCCTCAGAAACCCTCTATAGGGTCACCATGAGGCAGAACTCACTTAATGGCACTTAACAGTAACAAAGGAAATGCTCTCTGGAGGTGATTATTTAACTCTAAAATTTGTGATTGAGCAAAAATTGTTTCGTTGTGGCAAAGCCATACCATGTATTTATTACACACCATAGAAATAATGCTTTATATTTACTTTTCTTCTTTAGGGAGCACCAGGAACTACTGAATCAGATGAAGGAAACACACAGCTATTTAGTCTATGAAGACATAGAAGGTGAACTAGAGCATTTAGTAAAGAAAATGGAAGTTAAAAGAGAACAAATTTCTAAACTGAAGAAGCATCAGGACAGTGTAAGAAGGCTTTAATAAAAGAGTTTCATAAAAAGCTGGTATTTGTGGATTCAATGTTACCTTTGTATGACCTACCAAAGTTGAGGTGCCACATAGGAAGTAACAATTTTAGATGGTGGTGTTTGTTGAAGATTATACAATGTGTACAATTTCTTGGAATTGCACTGGAGAAATAAATAAAGAATAGAGAATAACCGTATTTTAAAAGCAGAGGCAGTCTGTACATAGATTGTATTTTGAGAATCATGACTCAGGTTTCATAATCGCTCTCACAGCATAAATTTCTAAACATTTTATCATGGTAAGCTCAGTATCTGTAATAAAATAGTCTTTTTGGCAAATAGACCACCAGGTACTCACCCAGCATCTGGACCAGCTCTACAAATAGAGCCATTCCCAGAACCCTATTAATAAGTTAAATATGTGCTAGATAGACTTTTAAGAAGTGAGTTTTGGCTGGTTGATGAGTTGTGTTTTGTTTAGTTCTATCCACCCAATTATTAAGTACCTCTGGTAGCGTGGGTTACGAGTTGGGCTGCTAAGTGCAGGGTCGGCAGTTTGAATCTATCAGCTGATCAACAGGAGAAAGATGAGGCTTTCTGCTCCCATAAAGATGTACAGCCTCGAAAACCTTATGCAGGGTCACTGTGAGTCAGAACCGACTCCACAGCACACCACCACCCAATTATTACAAGACAGTCTTCAAAGAAAGCAGGTTGTTCCCTTTTTTTTTTTTTTTTTTTACTGCTATTAATTAGTGTAAACAGTGCCTGGTTATAAACAAGATCTGTTCCAAAGTGTGTCTGTAAGTCATTTGTGGGTAAGTCAGAAAGCGTACATACAGTTCTTTTTTAGGTAAAAATATACTAAAGTATTTCCATGATTTAAAAACTGCACATACAGCAAGTAAGGATGATTGAGATGAAGAATTTGTGATTGCCCTAGTGGTTTCAAAGAGAGGGCACATTTACTTAATATTCAAAGACAAGTATGAACATAAGTTAGATGTTTGTAACCCAAGCTTGCCGGTACTTTAAATTCAAGTATATACCTAAGTATATATATATAAGAGACTTTATAAAGTTCATGGGAAAATGGAATTAAAAGATAATGGAATTTTCCACAAACTTTTTGAAGCTCCATTGTGTGTATGTATTATTCAAATGTTTTAAACTCAGTACTCATTCCAAGCAGCACTCCTTTGCCTTGCTGCTAATATCATCCGAAAAGTCCTTTTTCCTCTGTTTTTCGATATTTACCATTTTGTATTCTCTCTGCAACCTTGCCTTCAACTTCGCCAGCTCACATTGATCTTTTCCTACTTTGGTCTTCTCAAATACACACTTGTTGCCTAGCTCAGCATTTCCTGACTTGAATTATTTATTCTCCAGCTGTCACATATGTGCTTTCCCCTCTCTCACCTGACCCCATCCCCAACAAATAAGAGCAGTTAGCCTCTTGAGTGGTGTGGTGGTGATGTGCCATGGAGTTGCTTCTAACTCCTAGTGACCTTGTACAGGGTTTCCAAGGCTGTAAATCTTTACAGGATTAGAAAACCTCATCTTTCTCCCATGGAGCAGTTGGTAGTTTTGAACTACTCATCTTGAGGTTAGCAGCCTGATTTGTAACCACTACGCTACCAGAGCTCCTTAGCTCCTTGAGAGCAGGGGATACTTTATTCTTCTCTACCCGTTTAGCATAGTGTTGAACATATAATAGTTGTTCAATAAATAAAAAGTTACTGAATAAAACTTTTCAATTTTATGTCATCTTTAAGCTTTTAATCCAATCCATCTATTTTGGGTTATATTTTTAGTATATCTTTGACTAAAATTTTAGATTTTTTTTTTTCTCCAGGTCCATAAATTGCAGCAACAACTTCAGAACTCAAAGATGAATGAAGCTTCCGGTATTCAGCGAGAAGATAGCAACCATAAAGGATCAAAGAACATAAAAAATATCCCTAGAAAATGTTCTCATGAAACTAGCTCTCTTCAGAAAAACCGCAACTTTCATCCAAAACGAGTTCATAATCTTCAAATGAAATTGAGAAAAGACGATATCATGTGGGAACAGTAGCAGTAGCAAACTTGTCACCTTAAATGAACTCTGCCAATGAGATCTTGAGTTGCCTAACGTGGTTTTAATTTAATATAACTTTATGAAAAATTTGAATTATGTTTCTAGCCTCTATAAAGTGTGAAGTTGTAATATTTTTAAATGAATGTCAAATGACCTATTGAAAGTCCCAAATAATAAATGATTACTTGTTTTGTTTTCCTTATTGATTGAAATGTCTAATCTCATCATGTATTAGAACATTGTTCACTGAGCAATATCTTAATAAATTGGGTTAGATTAACTATGTTCAAACCAGAGTTAAGAGTTGAGATACAAGTACCATTCACTTTTTAATTTGGTAGGCTTGTAACCTTCAATCCAGTGTAAAATGAACAGGACATGCTACGGCTGCGTAACTTTTCCTGAGGCTTCCTCCTTAATCTTGTTTTAGAACTGTGGAATGTTTTGTGTTGTTGTTTTGTTTTGTTTTGTTTTGAAAAGGGAAAAGCTGAATAGGTCTGCAGTTTTGTAAAGAGGACTTTAACCCAAGTTTCTGTGTGACAGTTACCCGTAGGAACCCCTAGTTACTTAATTTCTAGAAGACATTATTATAACTGAATACAGAAGCTTTCCTCTTCTAATCCTGTGCTCTTTGAAAAATCTAGTGTGTTAAAACCTGTGATCTGTTTTCTCTTTCTGCTTTACAACTACATAAACTGATTTCTTGTGTGCATTTAATATACTGCTTATCAGTAAAAATTGAGAATGTAATCTTGAAGATCTGCAAAACTGACATTTTTATAAGGAAATATAGGAACAGGAATCTGGGTATTTTATTACTAATCAATAATTCAGGGAAATATGGTAATTTTATTAACTTCAATATTTTAAAATAAGTGTTGCATTTATGTACCTGTGTTTTATAATAAACTGATAACTTGCTGACCTATCTTGTCAGATGCTTATAGAAACTACTGTGAGTCTTCGGATCTATTTTGGTTTCTCAGATTCTTTGGGGTAACTAGAGAATTGAACAATCAACTGAAGTAAAAATAGGGGAAAGACAGAAATGCATAATAAAAAGGAGGAGTGGTGAATATGGGGTGCCATTTAAAAGATTGCAAGGGGACAGAGTTGGAATGAACATCCTAACTCTGTATCTTCTATGTCCCCAGTGGAGGGACATCCAAGTTAAAAGTGAAAGAGAATTTTTAGATCAGGACCCAGTAGCTAGGAAAAGCAAATTTTAAAATATAATCTTTTTTTCTCTTTTTTGCCTTCTCCTAGGAAACCACAGCAGTGCATCTAGGAGAAAGGAGTATTTGGGGACCTTCTGGGGAGGTGGGGAATTATGATTTATTCTGATTATGAGCAGAGGTGATATATTAGAAGACCTTTCCATCCCATCCCTGGAAGTGATTAAAAATGGGCAGATCAGTACTTCCAGTTGTCCTTGAAAGGAACAAAGGGCAGAGATCAGTTTTTCTCCCTCTCTGTTCCTGCACAGCCCCCACTTGACTCCTGCAGTCCCCTAGATGATCCACAGAGTGCTGCATCTCAAGTCAGCCTTGTCACCTTACCTACTTTTCAACTTTGCCTTTCCTCCTCAAGAGAGGATTTCTCAGTTAAACTTAGCAAAAAAAAAAACCTTTAGGGCCATAGTGGAGCCCTAGCTTTTTGTAGCGTTTTTTGTTTGTTTGTTTGTTTGTTTTTAAAAGCTCTTAGGAAAGTAGCTGAATACATACGGTAAAACTTGTGAAAACAGGAACCTATGTAAGTTAGAAACCTGTCAGAGAAGGAAAACACAAATGTTTTCCACTAAGAGAGTGATAGAAAAGTGGTGATTGCACCGTTATCTAGACCTGGAAAAATAAGCCAGTCTAGTCAAGTTCCAATCTCATATATTTCACTATATTTAAACCTATATTTAAATTAGTGCAGTAGAGGAGAAAAAACACACAGACTTCAGAGTTGGGAGACCAGAACCAATTCTGCCACTGCCATTCAGAAGAAGCCTTACTTAGTTAAATAACTTGTGTACCTTGGCTAATACTAACACCTACCTCACAGCATGGTTGTGAGAAGAGTATGAGAAATACCATGTGAGAGCATGGCACTAAATACAAACTCAATCAATGTTGTTGAATCTCTGTGGTTAAGAAAAAAAAAAAGTAAAATGTTTACAGAACATGTTTGTATGGGTTAAGCCTGAAAGTAAATGTCTAAATGTATTCTGCATAAAAGTGGGGGTATTCTAATTGAGTTGGCTCCACACCACCACCTCGTCTTCAAGAGGACGTTTCTCTGGCTTGAGCGCTAGCTAGGATGAGTGCACAGGGATGAAGAGTACAGGCCAGCCGTGGTGCAGAAGTACAGAACCACAGTTCCCTGGTTTGGAGTCTGAGTTGTTTGTGTGACATTTATTACTGAAACACACTAAAAGAACCACCATCAGCTACTGGACTGAAACTCTGCTCACAGATCACCTGCTTGCCAGAGTCTTTGTGACTCCCCAGGGGGTGGAGCCAAGATCTCCCTCCTGCACAGGAGCCATCCAGGGTCAGTGTACACGAGTTGCTGTAGCAACCCAACAGCCAGCAGAAACTATGATGACATCATTGATTTTGTTCACTGAAGCGAAAAACAAGTTTGCTTGGTTTTTATTGAATTAGAAATTGGAAACAAAAAAATGAAATTAGAACTTCCTAGCCAAAGCAGGTCTCAGCTTTGATGAGACCAGAAAGTTCCGGTGTTGGAAGCTGCAGGTACTGTGAATATTCTCATCCTGGAAATGGGAGTTGAAATCTTGAATGAAGGGCACTTGGGTGGGTCATTGGCAGCTGGGCCATTTTTGTGTGTGTACTAGGTTGAAAGTAAAGATAGGAGTTACTGATTTGTCGATTCTGACTCACAGTGACTATATATGACAAAGGAGCACTACCTCCATAGGGTTGTCTTTGCTGTCAGATTCAACGTTTGCTTTGGGGTTTGGTAATCTTTACACCAGCAGATCGCCAGGTCTTTTCTCCCTCAGAGCAGCCAGTGGGTTGGAACCTCTAACCTTTTGGTTAACAGCTGAGCTCTTAACCACTGCACCACCAGGGCTCCTTAAAGATAGGAAGGTCAAAAGGAAATGCTAAGTTTGGGGCAATGTGAGATTAAAGTATGGTGGAGCTAACTGGGATGATGTGCTTGACATTTTTGTGAGATTTTTTTGTTGCCTTCTGACTTGAAAAGTAGAATTTTAACTATACAGGTGTATTCTTAATTCATGATAAAATAGAAAAAAATGAGAAATTTGGTTTTTACAGTTGTAAGAAATCAAGGTAATGAGGAAAGGCTGGTAGGTCCTTGCACTGGAAAGCGTGCTCACCTTGGGCAGATGCACCAGCTGCCACTACCAATGCAGCGTAAATAGTTAAGACACCTAATGGGGTTTCCTGGAACTCTAGTCAGCTGGAACTAAAGCTGGACCCACTGGGAACATTTAATTGTATGTGAAGTCTAGATAAGTAGAAGCCAGCTCCCAGAAGTACAACCAGACGAACCTCTTTAAAGCTTAATAGCAGCTGTGTGATTAAAAAAAAAAAAAAAAAAAAGCTCTTAAGGGTACTATTGCAATTTTCAAGTAAAGTGAAATGAGGATAAGCAAAAATAATATTGACTGTCACTCATCTGAAAATAAATTTACTCCTTATAATTAGACTTTGTTAATGCCTCAGCGCTCTTCTTCAGTGCCTATACTTACTTTCATACAACTTTCCTCATTTAGTTCCTTTTTATATGTGTTGTGATGTAAGGAGACTTCTTGTTAGGTGCCATCAAGTCAGTTTTGACTCATAGTGACCCTCTACAAGGTTTCCAAGGAGCAGCTGGTGGGTTTGAACTGTCAGCCTTGTGGTTAGCAGTCAACTGCTTATCCTACAGCATCACACCAGAACACGAAAGGAGGCTTTGTTGTTGTTAAATGCCCTTGAGTCAGTTCAGACATCATTACTGAAACACATTACTGGGACACTGTATAGGGTTTCCAAGGAGCAGCTCTTGGATTTGAATTGCTAGCCTTGAGGTTCAAAGTGACCTTGTAGTCCAGAGCTTATCCTACAGCACTGCATCAGGACTCCTAAGGAGACTTCTTGTTATAAGTGCTATCAAGTTAGTTCCGACTCATAGCGATCCTGTCTAGGATTTCTGGGGATCAGGTGACTTAGATATTATAAAATTACAGAAATATCACATATTGTATGAACCAGGGTTTGTTTGTATTGTTAAATGTTCATCAAGCTGATATTTCAACTCATAGCCTTCCCATCTGAATAGAACTGTCCGGTCGGGTTTTCTTGAGAGTAATCTTCATGGCAGCAGAATGCCTGGCCTTTCTGCTGCAGAACCACTAAGTTCACAGCTGAGTGCTGCTTGTTAACTGATGTTGAGTCCGTACCAACTCATGGCAACGCTGTACAGGGTTTCGAAGGAGCAGTGGGTGGGTCTAAACCACCAACCTTGCAGTTTGCCATACAGTGCTTATCCAACAGCCCTATACCAGGACCAGTAAGTCACCTTTCATTGTTGTTGTAAGTTAATCGTTGCCGTAAAGATTCAGGTGAATTTTTTTCCTAGTGGATTCATTGGAAGTATTCTCTTTATTGAGTCCTGGTGTGGTGCTGCAAGTAAATTCGCTGGACTGCAAGGTGGTTTGAACCACAAGGTTGGTGGCTCAAGCTTACCCAGCCGCTCCTCAGAAACCCTATACAGGATTGCTGTGAGTTGAAACTGACTAGGCAGCACTAACTACATTGTCTTTATTAATACAGATTCATTGTATTCCTATTTACTGCAAGATCCTACTAAATAAGACCTATAAATCAGTGCCCACCACTGAAGACATTTATTGTAGATGAACAATCCATTGTTTTAGCAGAAAACAACAGAAGAAAAAAAATCTTGACTGTGCTCTGACACAGCTTTGTGACAATGTAAGATGCATTAATGATAGCCTAGTTTGTGAGTTGGAGATG